TCCTAAGCGCAGCTTTTCAGAGAACCTAAACCGAAAACGTCATGTTTCTATCTGTGAGCCTGTGTCAGCCGGCTCTGGACTCCTGGTCTTGTCTCTCCGGCTCTGTGAGCTGACCAGGCTCCCGAGGCTCAGTGCTGCACCTGCTGTGGCCCCGCAGCCTGAGTTAGCGAAGTCCTTGAACAGAAAATCAGCCCTGGATCTAAGGGCTCAGTGTCCTGCGCTTTCCTTTCCCCCCTGCCTGATCCCGATGCCCACACCCTTGCCGAGATGGCGTCCTGATGCCTTCAAACAGATACGGGTCTGTGGAGTGGGTAAGGAGGTCACTGTTCGTGGCTTTGGTTATTTCTTTGTGTTTGATCCTTTTCTGATTTAGACAGCACCTATGGCCGCGGTCATCTCAGACCCGTCTCCAGCTCTCCATGAGAGTTTCAATTATCCTTTTCACGGGCATCACCCCAAATTTTACTCTTAGGAGGCTCTTCAACCGGCGCCCCATTCCCTTCACACGGCCATATTTGTGTTTAAGATTTTCTTCCTTCTTTTCCAAAAAACTGTCAGTCCTTCCTCCACCTGGGATCACAAAGGAGCACATTCCCCAGGCAGCCCCGTGAAGGGAGATGGCGTGGGCTCTTCCGGCTCTCTGTGCTCTAGTTCTCGGCTCGCTGGCTGCGATGAAGGTGGCACCTAGCACACCTTGGTAGCTGTGGGCAGAACACAGCAGGGCCAGGGGACAGGAAGGACCTGGGTTCCCGAGTCACAGCACAGAGAAGCACCTCTGCTGATCAGAAATGCCTGCCCTGAATTTGTGTATTAGTGAATGCACCTCGAGTTTCTGCAGAGATTTGGGTGGTTATTTATATTTTTGACAGCACCTAGAATTACTGTAACTAGACTATGGCTGTAAGTGAATGTGGGCTTTAAAATTTCTACAGTATTGTTGTGATAGCTCCTGTCAGCAGCACAGAGAAAAATACTTGGATTATTTAATGACGTGTGACGCATTCCATTATCAAATTCTCCCAAGTGACATGGAGTTGTTTTTCTGCGGTGTTCTTGTTAAAGATGAGGAAACGTTTAATAAGACCGTGTGCAGAATTCCTGGTTGCTTTCTCTGAGGAGGAGGTAGCTGGCTGCGCAGCTTGACTGTGTACATCTGCGGTGCTTGTAGATCAGCTCAGTGTGCCTCACCTCTAGGTGAGGTGAGAACGCTGCTTCACCTCTAGACGAGCAGCAAACCCTGCACGACATTGGGACTGGGAATCAAAATTTAAATCGGTCCTCGCAAGTTGGAGTCCTCGAGCCTCTGGTGAGAACCTTATAAAAATGCAGAGCCATGATTCAATTCCACAGACACTTTGCCGGTAGTTTGAAGAGGGGCCAAAAAAGCTGCATTTATTAAAATAATTCTACAGGTTGCTTCTTATGCAGTCATGTCACCGATGAGGCTTAAGAAGACTCTGATAGAAAAATCCCGGCAGGTGCAGCCCCAGCGAACACCGATGTTCAGCACATGCTGGCCAGGGCTGCAGGGTGACAGGGACATTCACCCCAACCCAGGCGGCTGACCCACGGCCCACCTTTCACTGCTGTGTGTGTGTGTGCATTGCTTCGGACTGAACTTGACTGCAAGAGAGAGACACTCAGAGTCAGCAAGCTGTACACACAGCGGGCTCTGTGTCCTCAAGCAAAGGTCCTGGGTCACCCATCCAGGTCTAGCACTGCATCTGTTGGGCACCCAGGCTTCTTGGGCTCACTCTGAGATTCTTAGAGTATGGCTCTCATGGCCATTACTCTAAAGGACTGCTGTAACACCAGTCATTACATCCAAATTCCACTGCTCAGAAGAGGACAAGGAAGAAGACAAAGACAGTGCTTTTCCTTTTAAGGAATCCTGTGAAAAACTGCACACATCTCTCCTTCTTCCAGCTGGTCATCAGCTCTGCATAGCAGAAGGTGTCCCCGGGTAGACCATCCCTCCACAGGGAGCTACATAGGAGAAGGTGTCCCTGGGTAGACCATCTCTCCACAGGGAGCTACATAGGAGAAGGTGTCCCTGGGTAGACCATCTCTCCACAGGGAGCTGTGTTGCTCCACAGTGTGACATAGAATGGAAACAGGCTGCTGGGTGAGAGTTAGTGGTGCCCGAACAGGGTTCTGATTGGCACATAAAGGTTCCCACTGGCTTCTGCAGTACCAAGCACATCCCGCTGTGCTCCAGCCTTTTAACGTTACGCTTCATTGTGCCACGAGGACCCTCCGGGGAGCTGGAAGTGCCGGAGGCTCCTGGTAACCATGGCAGCAGGTTAGGTGCGCAGCCAAGTGTAAGAGATGTCCTGGGGGCTCCTCTTAAATGCAGAGCGATTGCTTCCGCATGGGTTAAGCCAAGCTCCGTCTCCATGTACTGATCTGTACAGAGTGAGCTATGCTGCTTGTCCCCACTTCATTTGGCTCCAAAAAATGCAAATAAGGCTGGCCGAGGTACTGATACGTGATCCTGGAGGCCAGCTGACAGCTTGCTGTTTCGTTCCATCATGTGCCCTATAAACAGCTGAGCACAGTGGGATGGCAGAGCCACATAGCTCCAGGAATGTCAACTGGGTTTCAGCCACAAGGTAAGAGGCTATGACTTCCCAGGGCACAAAAGTTTACATATCAGAAACTGAAGCAGCCGCCTCCTAAACATTCAGATGCTACCACAATCAAGAACGCAGACTGGTCTTTTTACATAGCTTTCTGCCTGCAGACTGCTGCGGTGTCTGCTCTCTGCCTGGCCGGCTCAGCTCACAGTGCTCACGTAATTCCTGCCATCCTCACTGTCACTCAGCCTCAAGCCACTCCCTTCTTCATGAGATAATAAATTCTGGGTGTGGCCGTAGAGCAGGGCCCTGTTCCATGTATCCTCACCTGGACCGGCCTCCGGACCCTTTGGCTGCCCGTAACTGCGAATATGTCTCCGTGTCTTTGTCCTCACTGTGGGTGGGTTGCTCTGGAGGTGGTAGGTTGGAATTAACTTGCCGGGACTCACTAACGTTCCAGCAGACCATGAGGAGGACAAAAAAGGGAATTACGATATTTGGATTGCAACAGCCAAGGTCCAGATGGAGTCGCCAGATGCATATGCTGTCACCGAGCAGCCCCTGCAAGCACTGATGTCCGGAGCAGGTCCCAGATGTACAGGAAGAGACCAGCTCAGAGATCGGGCGTGATCCAGTCGCAGAGCAGATCCTCTGCACAGAGGCGGATCTAAGGTCAGGTGGCCATTGCGGGGACCGCACCTGGAGGCAGATGCTCCTCCTCAGCACCTGTGGGCTCAGAAAGCCCAGCTCTCTCTAGCGTTCTTGCCTTAAGGAATGGAGGTGGTTCATGGGGTGCACTAGCTGTCACGTGACAAGTGGGCCTCCACCGCAAGGCGACCCAGGTGCCGCATGGTGCCGTGCAGGGAGCCAGCTGATACCAAGCCCCTGTCCCCAGCTGTGTCGGTGGGGGCCACAGAAGGAGGTCACTTCCACTGCCACTGGGAAGCTAAAAACCCCAAATGACCCGTTCTGAACAGCCAAGGGATAAGGAGGTTGGGAAAAATGACAGGGCTAATGAAGCAAAATCATGTCAGAAGAGAAGCAGAAGGAGACCAGAAAGCAGCTCTGGCTGAAACAGCATTTAAGAAACAGTGGCTGGAAATTTCCTAGCCCTCAGGAAAGACATATGCAGATTATGAATTATGCATTATATCTTATATCTTTTTTTTTTGTCTTTTTCTTTTTTTATCGGTACCAGGGATGGAACTCACAACTGCCTGCTTGTAAGGCAGGCGCTTATGCCGCTGAGCTAAATCCCCAGCCCCTATATCTTATATCTTATATGTGGAAAAAGAGTGACAATGCCCTTATGGTAGAGGCTGAAAAGAAATGGCACCATATTGTTCACGTGGTGACAGAAAATACACGAGAACTAGAATCCTACATACTCAGAAAATCTCCAACCGAAATCGAGATATTTTCTGAGAAAAAAAAAAGTAAATCATTAAAAATTATCACCAACAAAATTACCCAAAAGGAGTGGGTACAGTCCTCCAAACAGAAAGGAAATCAGAGGAGAAGCAAGCTAAGAATAAAAATCAGGAAGAGGAAAGCGGGGTAAATTCAGTGTCTCTCAACTTTTCTTAATTGTGTTTGTCACTTCAAGCAAAAATTAGATTGGTTCGATGTGGTTCTGAATACACAGGAAATATGCAAGACAATATATTATACATGGAGGACCCTAAGGGAGGTAGAAAGTCCTCTCTCTCAGTAATCCCAGAATTCTAGAAGGCTGAGGCAGGGGGGTTGCTAAGTTTGGGCCCAGCATGAGCAACTTACCGAGTTAGAGCGACCCTGTCTCAACATAAAAAATAAAAACTAGCATGTAGCTCAGCAATGTGAAGGTCTTGTCCTCAGCCTCCAGCTCCAAAATCTGCCCCTTCTGTGTGTGTGTGTGTGTGTGTGTGTGTGTGTGTGTGCGTGCACTGTATATAGCACACACATGTGTGTGCAAACACAGTACTAGAGCACCCACTCAAAAGCTATACTCAGGAAACATAATAAGGTATTAAAGTAACTAAAGAAAGGGAGGAAACCTGGAGGAACAGAAAACAGGAGAAATGACAGTGGCCTCAACATATTCATCACACATTAAGGCAAACGGTCTAAATATACAAGGTAGAAACAGATTAACAGCACTGCCTCCAGGATCTCATTTCCGACATAAGAATTGGAAGGATTTTGCCCTGGATGGGAGGCTGCAGCGGTGGGAGGCTGGGAGGCGGAACCAAGGGCTCCATCTGAGGTCACCTTCCCCGCCCCCGGGCAGCTTACCTGTGGTGAGAAATGAATCCCAACGGGCCACCTGTGCATCGGCAATGCCCCGTAGGCTCCACCCCAAACCTAAGCTACCTGTATGTCCCCCACACCACGCGTCCGGCAGAGAGAAAGCCGGCCCCGGAGGTCATGGAGTGTCTATCCGCATTCTTAAAATAAAGGCCACTTTTATTTCATATTTCTTATCTTTGTAGCCGCGCCAAAAATTCTATCAATAATATGGATGGGTTGGGAACACAGGGGGGAGGAAGCGACATAGGATGCCAGCGTTAGTCAGAAGACAGCAGGACGAGGCCGTGCGTGGAGCGAGGGCGTGTCCAGGGCCCGGAGGACACCACACTCTGCTGAAACGCTGAGCCCAGCATGCAGGCACAGCTACCCTGCTGCTTATCCCACTACTGATTTTCAGCAGATTGCATTCCACGGAGGAAGGGACGACTTTCCAGCAAATGGCGCTAGAGAAGCTCTGTATCCATAAAGTCTTTTATCTATTAAAAAATGGAACTTGACGTAAGCTTAAGACCTTGTATAAATATTAACTCAAAATAGATTGTATGTTTAAATGCAAAACATAAAAAATACCATTTAGAAGAAAATATAGAGAAAACCTCCCACTTAGGGCTGGGGAAATAGCTCTTAGATTGGAAAGCGCGCCCTCTAAAGAAAAAACTGATAATACGGACTTCACCAAAAATCAGATCTTCTTCTCCAGTGAAGCACATGCAGAAGACGCTGAATAGTAACCCAGTGTGAGCTCGCAGAGGTGGATCCGCTGGGGCCCAGAGCAGTCACGCGTGGGGAATTCCGGTTAATTAGGAGATTAGGAGTGACCAGATGAGGAGATAAAAACGGGTAACAGACGACAGAGGAGCCAGGCCAGGTCCAGGTCAGCTGTCTTCGTAGCCGCCTTGACCAGAAATGCATCAGTTCCTTAGCACGGGCTAAGAGACAAAAGGAGAAAAAAAAAAAAAAAAAAAAAAAAGAGTGAGCGGGGTGGCTCGGGAATTACACCATGAAATATCGTGTTCCTCTCAGGGAAGCGGAGTGTAAGGTTTCAGGGTGGAAGAGAAAGGAGGCACGGAATTCCATTGGATGTCTGCAACATGAGCTCAGTCAGGCAAAATCACTGCTGCCCCAGGACTGCGCCTGGAATGTGAGGTCCGGGAGGGCCAGCCCCAGCCCCAGCCCCAGCCCCAGCCCCAGCCCCAGCCCCGAGAATGTCTGCGTTGACTCACCCAAGTGGAACCCCTTCAGGAGCTGGCTTTGTGCAAACCAGCTCTGAAAGCTGAGGGAAGCCGGCAAACACACCCCACAGTTCGCTCTCCTGCTTGGACTTCCTCTTCTTTCTCTGTAAATATCAGTTGCTGTATTTATACAGTTGTTATTAAGTTACAGTTTAATCTTAATCCTACTGTACAGGAACTACGTGACTAGGCGAGTTCACACAAAATGAGGACCCAGCGGGGAGGTGTAAATGGGGTCTCAGGAGGTGGGCAAAGGGAGGATGGGTGGACAGGGTGGCTTAGAGGAAGCTAAGGCCAACAGGGACCCATGTAGTTCCTGATCCATTTTTCCTGCCTCTCTTCTCTGTTTTTGCTAAAAGAAATCAGTTATTCAGTGTCTGTGCCATAAAAATGACATGGGATAAAACGTTTCTTCTCAAAAGGGAGGGAGATTTTTCATGCACTGTTGCAAGAGTCGGGATTATCAGTCACTTCATCTGCACGATCAGCCAAGTCCTGGGCTCTTTCCTGTGGTCACGCAGGGAAAGATCATTCTGTTGGTTTCACGGATAAGGAAATGGCAAATCAGGAAGACAAACTAGCCTAGCCAGACTCTGAAGCAGGATCTGTCTGAATCTGAAGCCCCAACGAAGGGATCTTAGGTGGAAATCTACAGGCTCCACCCTTCGAAATGTCCTACAGAGCGACCACGCCCTCTTCACCCTGGCTCCAAGCGCTTCTCCAGGACTACTGCTTCCTCAGTGATGGCTGAGCGTGGAGGCTCTGGCCTGCATGGAAACTTCAGAGATCAACAGAGAGCAGGCGAGCCAGGTGGGAAAAGCCACTCGGGGGTCTGCAGGAGCCCCTGGAACGCACCCAGCAAGTCTTCCCAGCAGTGCGATGTGGGAAAGTTGCCATCTCCACTGTACAAACACGAGCCCAGGTCCAGAGACCTTGACTAACTTGCTGAGGTCACTCAAAGATTAAGTATCAGAGCTGGACTTACACTAACTCTGATACTTAATTTGGGGCAGGCATTTAAGCTCTTCTCCCTGGTGTTAATATTTATGCCGCATTTAACCATGCACCCCACTGTAGGGTGTAGCCCCAATCTCATGCAATCCTAAAATCAACCCCAAATGCATCAGCACTGCATCACAGCTACGTTACAAGATACAGGCTCGAGAGGGCCAAGCCAGGAGCTGGGGTCCTGAGCCACCAGGAGGTAAAACAGATTTGCACCAGGCTTCACTCCTGGCCTTCCAACTATTTCCGCTTCCTCCTTCCCTGTATGCACAGAGGACCCCGGGAGCTGGCACACTGCCCAAGCGCTCGGGACCAGGTTGATTCTCAGGGGTCTCCTTTGACATGTGTGTTAGAATTCTGGTGTGGCATCTTGCGGTCATCTGGCTGTGCCCTATCTCTTTGGGACAGGGACCCACCTGCTCAGCTCAGCACAGTGTGTGTCGCACGATGGACCCCTTTTTGCTATGCTGGGTCTAACACACATACATTACCCCTCCTGCTAAGCCTGGAGGACCCGACTTAGCGGCAAGCACACAGTTTTTGGAGGCTGTCACTCATGACCAGGAACAAAGCCCCCTTTCTTCACCGCCTGCCGCAGAGCAGAGCCAGCACGATCTCAGGCTCCAGGACCATACTGCCTTGGTCCAACCACACTCTGCACTTAGCCCTGGGACCTCGGCCCCTCTCAGACTCAGTTTCTCTATGTGTCCAGAGGAGGCAGTGTAGCAGCGTGTGTCTCTCACAGTTGTGCGATCGCAGGAAAGGCTGCCCAGCCCTTGGGACAGCCGTACACAGGCTATGCTGGTCCACGTACCCCTCTCCATCCCCCGAGGCAGCTGGGAAGGAGTACTTCTCAGTAACTCCAAAATGTGCGCATCAACGGAGCCTGCTTGCTCGGCTGCGGAGGAGCGGCGATTTCTCCTTCCTGCCCCAGCTTTGGAGGAGAGCCTCAACGGGCAGGGATGGCAGCTGTGGGTGCCTCGCTGCATTGTGGGTGCTGCCCCATAAGCTTTAATCTGCCCACATGTGACTAAACCTCTGCTTGCTTTTCGGTACGATGGGCAGCCTTGTGACTCCCGGGGGCAGTCCTGAAAGTCAGAATGCCATATAAATGCAGTTGCTGATTCTGCCTGCCCTCACATCTCTCTCCTCTCCCTGCCCTCTTTTCTTCCTCTACCTCTTGGCTTCTCTGGTTAGTTTTCAGGTCGCTGGGCCCCATCTGTGCCCAGGGAGGCTCTGCTCCCCTCCTGCTGCCCACCAGGAAGCCCTGCCCTGCCCCTTCCCACCCTGTCCCCTCAGGAACACCCTGCACATGTGGGTGTTATTTCTCTTGGCAGCAGGCATTCAGCTGTCGAAGAGACGGATAGGTCTTGGCCAGGAGGAGACGGGACGGGAGCAAGGAAATGAGACTGGGATGGAACAGGCGCCCAGCCAGGAGCTGGGAGAGACGGGAGGGTGTGGACTGAAGCGCTGAGCCAGGAAAGGCGCAAAAAGGCAAATTGCAAATCTTTATCTGAGGACCCAGATGCCCAGAACAGAGCCCCACTTCTTACCCAGACACCCAAGCCCAAGAGGACGCAAAAAGGGACAAACTGGGGGCAAGGGGAGGCAAAGGTAAAAGGCCACCTGCTCTGAAGACTTGCATTTGCCAGCTTCAAAGTAAAACACATTATCGTGAAGATCAAATTGTTCAATAAATGTCAGTGCCAGCACAGTGCCTGGCCCATGGCTTATTACACTGTTGTGTCATCAGTAATGCAGTGGAGATTCCAGGAATGTGTGAGCTGGCATCACACTGCTGGTGCAAAACACCTGACAGACATGACTTAAAGAGGAAGAGTTTGTTTTGGCTCAGAGTTGCTGAGGTTTTGGTCGCGGTCAGCTGTCTCTGAGGGCGAAGGGCATGGAGGAAGAAAGCTGCTCACCTCATGGTGGTCAGAGAGCGGAGCTCAGGGAAAGAGCCAGTGAGAGGACGGGGCCGAGGATCAGGCAGAGACCCCAAAGGCACAGCCGCAGGACCCCCAGGCTCAGTCTGAAGGGTGCTTTACCAACCTCCCAAGGAGTCTGAGCCAGGCGAGCTGACAGGCCCTTGCCGAGATCATGGGTTTTGGAGCCGGAGAGACTTCCCCTCAAATTCTACCTTGGCCACTGCTGGTTGCAACACCTTGGCTCAAAGATTGCTTCTCTGAATCCCAGCTTCCTACTGTGAGACCGCAGCATTACCTTCCTAGCTTGGCCTTGAATGGCACTGGAAAGTAATGCCTCTGTCCAGTCAGAGGAAGACAGAAAAGTGGAGAAGGGCTGACAGCATCTGCTACAGAGATGAGGCTGCCCGAGGTGTGGAGATCGGGGTGTCCGCACATGGCATCTTCCCAGGGTGTCGGCCACCTTGCCCTGGAAGAGGGGGCGCGGAAAGGGAGAATCAGGCTGGTGGAGACGTGAGGAGACCGGGCAGTAGGTGTGAAGTGGTCCCATGGTTTCTGGAAAGAACGCTGGCTCTGAGGTTGGCATAGCTGCCTGCCTCTGAGGGTTCCGCCGTTCCCCGGTTACGTGGGGGCTACTGAACCTTTGTGAGTACCAGCTTTTTGGAAGCTGATACCAAATGAGGAGGCCTGAAGATCTGCTCAGGACTATTCTGCTGGCCAAAGACAGAACTCAGTTAAACAGAAAGGCAGCAGGTCAGCCGAGGCAGGAGTGTGTCCGAGGCACAGCCAGAGCCGCACAGCCTCCCGGCCCTCTCGGCCTCTCTGTAACGTGAGTCTCCTCTCAGCCTTGCGTTCACCATTTTTCCATCTGGGCCTGAGTTCTTGCCTTCACAGAGTTTGTTTGATTGCCTTCACCTAAACTCTGTTTACTTTGGAAATGCGCGTTTTCATTCTGCACACCGCTCGGCTCCCTCCTCCACCAACCTGGTGCACAGCAAAGACAAACCACAGAAATAGAAACCTCATAAATCCCTCGGCCAAGACTTTGACAGACTTGAGGAGCATTTTTGAACGCTAACCCCCGGTCATTCCCAAAGTTTCCTTCCGGCAGGTTGAGCCACAGACGGGTGTCTAGATTCCCAAGGGAACCTTCCAGTGACTACTGGTTAAGCAAGTACCGTCTTCTTGGGAACTTTCTGGAAGGTCGATCAGGTCTACACCAGAAGAGAGGGGATTGCACTGGCGGCCCTCTAATGCATTTTGGAAACCTGACCTCGGTCTTCTTCTTCAGGCTCTTTTGCTTTTACTTGCCGTTCCATGCCAGACTCGCCCTCACCCCAAATGCACCCTGCTGCCAATAAACCGCCCCGTCTGCTCCTTTTCGTGACTGCGAGCTCCTCAGGTCGGAAACTGTTGTACTCGCCTGTTCCTCCAAGCCTTGCAGCAGGCAGCAGGTGCTCAAGGAGCACGTGAGTGAGACGCAAAGCGGTGCGAGGGCTGGGAGAGAGTTACACGGCGACGCGCTCCCGCACCGTACCAAGACCGCAGGTTCTGCCGTTGCATTTGATTGTTCTACTGTTGCAGATTGAAAATCCCCAAAATTTCCCAGTAGCTGGAAAATACAGCTGCCATTCCCTTATCCCTCATGGAGCCTCGAAATCTCTTGTTTGATAGAAGGCTGACAGTGGGTGGCATTGAACAGCAGCAGGCTGGGACAGCTTGGGATTTGAGAGTCTGGAGAGTAGGTGACATCTCTCCTCGGGGTGTCTCAAGGCCTCTGTGGGCTTCCTGCTTGAGCTGGCTTGGCTCCCTTCGTCTCGGTGAATGTATCATGGACACGTAATGTAGTAGAGACGCTAGGTGATGGCTATGTGAGACCCCTCCAGGCCACTTCTGCAGCTTTTCCATAGGATTAAAATCACTCAGAAATAAGCTTAGTTTAAAACCGCTCCCTGGCTTCTTTCTGCCTCTCTAATTAGAGGTGGGGTGGAGGCTGCCTTAAGAAACACGCACCTGCGTGCAGAGCTGAGCATCAACGCTAACGCCTTTTGCGTTCTGTCCAAGCAGGACTGGACACATCTCTTGGCCCTGTGCGTACCCTGATCCCATGGGCTGTCGTCACCTGCCTGAATGCCCAGCTCCCTCTTTGATTGTTGTGCTTGCTGAAGGATGTTTTCTCTACTGTTCTCATCACCTGTCCGTGGAACAGCACGAAGACAATGTAGGAGAGAAAACCATAAAAAAGTGTGGTTTGCAGCCCAAAAAGGCAGGATGGGGGTGGGGTTTACCCAGCAATGTGAACGGCGCGGGCCCTGCTTAGATCAGCTCAGGATTGTTCTCAACACGAATAGGAGAGTTCATTCCTGCAGGAAGAGTTCTTTCAGGGGAACATTCAGCGCTGACCAAGGTTTTCACTGCAGATTCCACCCTGGAAGACCTTGGGACTCCCTCTCCATGGGCTGCGGGAGCCCTCTCCACCACTGGCCCCAGGACCAGCACCTCAGTGCACTGAGGAAGCTCCTTTCTCCACCAGCAATGGGCCACGGTGCCTCCAGATGCTGACTGGAGCATGCAAGGTGGAGCCGGGCAGCCTCGAGCCCTCACCTGGCCTGGGAAGACGGTGGGCTGGGGAGAAACTTTCCCATTGGCAGAGCTCTGGGTGTGACTCCGCTCACCCACGTGGTGTGGGAAGAGAAACAGCCAGAGGGTGTGAAATAGATGGGCTTACAAAGAATTTAAAACTGCCAGGCAGGCTGGGAGGAAAATGATTGGAACCCTAGGGAGGAGGAGGGTTGGCCTCCAGGAATATGGATGCAGAAAGGTGCTGGGGTGAAGGGTGAGGTCTCTGTGTCACAGGAGAATGCCACCAGGAAGCATCTGCCACAGAAGAGACTCCAAGTGACCAAGCAGATGGGACGACTGACCCCAGAGTCAGGCGACTTCTGCCCTGGTCGCCTTGGTTCTGACAACCCGCGCATACAGATGGAGGGGCTCAGAGCAGTTGAGGCCGTGGGTGGGTCCCACGCATAGACTCCCAACTCTCAAGGCTGAGGCAGTGACCGCCCTCCCTGAGGATCCACGCTGTTGGCACGGAGACCAGCATGAGCCCAGTGCAGACTGTTCCTGGAGGCAGGTGGGTAGATCAGCCTCCTCTACTGTGGTCAGAGCTCTGCTTTCCTCTCATAGAAGAAGACCTATGTTCTTGGTACTTGCCTTTGTATTAGCAAGCCCTTACCTACCACCTCCATCTACAGTTATGCCCAAGCTTTGGTCTCAGCCTGAGATCCCTCAAGCCCTGGGCACCTCCTTTACGGCAGAGGAGATGTGGTGGTGTGCTGTGATCACCTACCACACTGTGGAGATGCTGCTGGAGGACAGAGGCCTGGAATGGCCTACTGAAGCAAACCTGGGGAGCATCTGCTTTCCTGACGCCCTCAGAGGCAGTGTGGATAGTGAGGCAATGAACTTCGTATGGCACCGAAGCCACCACAGGAAGAGCATCCGGCAACCAGGGGAGGGTCACAGGCATGGTCACATCAACACTCCTCCCAGTAACGTGCTGGGGAACTTTGAGTGTCTCATTCATTTTGGGGGCACAGATTCTGGCCCCAGACAGGTGGGCTTTCACTAGCAGACAGAGCAAGCACCCCCTGAATGACAACCTGCACTTCTTAGCTGGGAAACTCGGGCTCCTATGGTCTAGGCTCCAAGAAAGGGGTACTAAAAGGATTGGCATTGGGAAGGACCATGGAGGACCCGGGAGGTCCCCTTTGGACTCTGTTGGTACTTCCTGGCACAACTGTAACTATAAACAGGGCTGCTGGCATCGTGGGCATGTGACCTGGGGGGCTGCATGTGACCACGTGCACAAGACCCCAGGCTTGGTCTAATGCTTTGCTACACTCATTGCTATTTTCTAACAAAGGATTCAACTATGGCTTGACGTTTGTGTCTTCCCAAATTTCACCCCCAAAGTGAGGGCATTAGGCAGTAATTAGGTCATGAGATGTTGTCCTCAAGGATGAGGTTGGTTCTTGTATCACAGAGGTGTGGGTGACTCCTCAGTCCTGCCCACATGCGGGCTAGACGGGAAAGACAGCTCCCCCGGGGCCAGGAGGTGCGTCCTCACCAGACAGGGGATCTGCTGGCATCTTGTTCTCTCCAAACCGTGAAATCTAGTTGTCATTTTAACAGTAGTGAGGGGGAGCCCTCGCCGGTGGGATCGTGCTGCTCTACAAGGGCAAGCTGCGACCGTCAGTCTCTGGCCCTCCACATCCAGGCATGGGACGACATGACAAGATGCCTTGGCAGCTGCCGTCACCCTGGCATTGAACTTCCAGAGCTCAGGAACCAACCGTGGGCCGATACGTTTCTGCTCTTCACAAACTCCGGGACAGCAGCACAGGCTAAGATACCGCTTGATCTCTGAGTTCCCAGCCTCAGGCTAAGACACGCCTTGATCTCTGAATTCCCAGCCTCCAGCGCTACATCGCTGCGGGTGATAGACCACCCAGCTTGTGGTGTTTTCTCATGGCGGCTCTCGCGGCCTAAGTCAGAATTCCATTTTTGTTTTGCATGGTCCTGGTGTGCAACCGCTCAGCCTGAGAAGGACACGGTGGCCAGGTGACAAGGAAGCCTTGGAACGAAGTTTGCAGCCAGGAAAAGCCGTGGTCAGGAAAGTAGTGGAGAGGGACGGCTTCCTCCAGGTGATGCCAGGGCCACTGTGTACGCTCAGCACGTGTGAAAGTCGGATTCCAGGCTGCCCGCTTGGTGCCCTTCCAACTGACACAATAAACCACGCATATGTATACAAGTTAGTAAGCTGTGAGCTTATGTATTGTATATTACATATAACTGGAAATGATCACTACAAACAACAAAATGGACTGGAACCCGCCCATCTCCCCGTGGGCTTCGCTGTGCTTCTGTGTGTAACGTGGCTCACCCCGTCTCCTCGCCGGCAATCGCTGCCCGTTTACTGCACCTCAGTTCACATCCGCCAGGACTTTATGTGCCGGGACCCTGCAGGACGCCCTCCACACCTGCCCTCTGTCGCTCAGCGCCATCTGTCCAGCCGGCTCGGGCACCGGTTGCTGGTCCGTTTTACGCTTGGTGGTTTCCACTGCACGGCTATATTTGCTTATTCTCTCACGCGTTGATGGGCATTTTGGGTTATTTCCACTTTGGGGATGTCACAGATAACATAGTGATGAACTTTTATCTGCAAGTCTCTGCACAGACACATGCTTTAATTCCTCTTGGGTAAGTACGTATGGCACAAGGGCGGCCTCCTTAGGGAATGTCGCACTGACCTGTCACTTTCTCTCTCGAACTGTGCGTTCACCAGAGCTTCCACACAGCTCAGCTCAGTCACATCATCGGGGACCCTGGATAACAGTGCAAACACCATCCCAAATCTCACTGCTTTCCTTGCCAGAAGAAAAAGGTTTACACGGTCTTACACTTGACTTTTAAAATTACTTTTAGACCTGCTTTAGGTTCACAGTCAAGTGAAGCAGAAAGCACAGAGTTCCCCACCCTCCCCGCCCCAGGCCTGTGTAACTTCTCCCTCTGCTGATGTCCACCTCCGGGTTGTGTATTTCTCTGGGCTGCGGAGGACCAGAACACATTTTCCCCAGGGCAGATCAGAGGTGTGAGAAGTGCCTGCTCTTCTCCCAGCCTCACGAGGGGTCAGCCTCTCCTCCTTCCTTGGTGGAAGCGAGAAAGGACAGGGGTCGGGAGGGGTCGGGAGGCAGGCGCACTCCTCTCTGGGGAGTCCCTGAGAGACTGAGACTTTGCAGCTGAGACTTTGTGTTACCAATGGCTCTGGGCCCAAGGCTGAGGGTCATGAATTAATGCATCTCTGCAATGCAGCATCTAGAAAGTGGCAGGTCCCATCTCAGTGTCTCATGTTACTCATAAGGATCTATTTTTGACGAAATTCATTGAGCACTGTAATTCATTATTGTGCTTCTTTTTTTTTTTCTTTCTTTCCGGTACTGGAGGTCGAACTCATGACCGCCTGCTTCTGGGGCAGGTGCTTATGCCGCTGAGCTAAATCCCCAGCCCGAGCACTGTAATTCAGAAGAGCATTATTGCCTCAGAAGAAACCCACAGGCAGCACGTTCTGGACCACCTGAAAATAATGACTTAGCAGTCACTGGGGCAGATGGATGAAGGCAGAGACGGACACGAACTTGAGGGTCTGCTAGGTATCAGACCCTGTAAGGGACTGTCTTAGTAACTTTTCTCCTTGCTGAAACAAAATACCTGACACTCAAAGCTACATGAGGAAAGGTTTCAGCTCACAGTTTGTAGAGGTTTCAGTCCATAGGTGACTGGTCCTGAAACTGAGGGGCATGGAAGAGGAGAAACCGACCATGGCGAGGCAGGGAAGGGCAGAAGCAGCAAGCAGCAGCCTGCTCTTCCTTGTATGCCTTCAAGCCTTTCAGGTGGTGCAGCCCACATCTGGGGGGGGGGCTTCCCGTTATCCACACCCAGAACTATGCTGCACCAGTCAGTGGGCTGATTTAGTAATTCCACACCCTTAATCCCAGCATCACACACACCAGATTCAGCTACCTCTGAGAAGCCCCACCTATGTCCAAGTGAGGATTTTGGGGTTGGGGAGACAACTATACAAGCCCTTAACAAGTACTTTGCAGTACTAACACAATGTTTATTAAGTACTCACCACTGCCTGCTATGCTTCTGAACCTTCAGAACCTCCTCTGAGCAGGGTAGGAGACTGTGGAGTTCTGGTCCAAACCACATCTCTGAGCCAGCCTGCCTGGCTTTCAGTCCCACCCAGTCCTTTGTAAGTTCCCTTGGGCCCACTGCTTAATGACTCACGCTGGTGTAGTTTTTCCATGTCCCTAAAACAAAGATGGCAGCAGCTGCGCCCTGCTGCTGAGGCGGGAATGTGTGCCCACGCGGAGAGCAGACCGGGCCGTCAGTACGGAATGCGGCCGCCCTCACTGCCTCTGACCGCAGGGGCTGCAGTGCTGTCCCGGGGCGGCGTGAGTGGACTTGAGGTCGGGGTGAGTCCTGAAGGAAAATGTGACTCGGGTGAGGAGATGAGTGGCAGGATCTGTGCCCTACTGGGCACGGGCGAGGTGGTAGAGAACAGGGTACGGAAGCTCTCAGACCGATCAAGTCCAGCGAGGCGAGAGCGGAATTCCCCGGCGTGAATTTCCCCCATGTTTTTTCCGAGGGAAGGCTCCCTGCAGCTCGCTGTGTGCTGATAACCATCAGGATGTCGGCTCCTGGGGAGACAAACGGGGCGCTCAAGCTCCCCTCACCCCGAGCAGAGCTGTGAGTCAGGGCTCATTTCTGGTCAAGATTGGAAGTGCAGCCTGGTGAAATTCCAAGGCAGGATGGTGGAAGGGAGTTTCTTTTTTGATTTTTCTTAAGAGCTAATTTCTTGAGAACAGATTTTCCCAGACAGGAAGAAGAAAGAAGCTTCCAGTGAAAACACTTCAGGAAGACGGGAAGCTGGGCAGCGGAGTTCGGTGCCTTTCTTGCTTGTTCTGGGCCGGGTCTGTGGTGGTCCCTGAAGTCTGGCCAGAGAGTCTGGCCAATGCTTGCAGAGAAAGCCAAGGACTCTGCAGCATCTCGATGCCCCCGGATCCTTCAGGCTGGGCTCCTGCACCACCGAAGCTTTGGCATGTTTGCTGTTCATGTCGCCCATTAAAGCCTTTCGGGATCCAGATTTTACCTATGTTTACTTCCTCCAAAGTCCTCTGCAATGTTATCTCAAGGGACTCGAAACCCCCATGCTGTGGTGGTCAGGACAAGAGTGATGATTCCCATTTCACAGATGAGAAAACAGTTTGTGAGAGATGCACTTCCTGATTGGGGTCACAGAAGTGGGCAGTGGTTTTGCTGAGGCTGTGATCTGAGCTTAATCCACAGACTGTCAGGGTAGGAGGGAGGGTGTGTGGGGGACAGAGAGAGCCAGTGCAGGCATAGACTGTAACAGACCCAAAGCAGAAGCAGATTTGCTGTTATCTGTAAGAACATACATGTTTAGGACTCATACAGGAATCATACACATCTTCCCTAGGAAGTCTCCTAACTTTAAAGAATTAATACAAGGTCTTCAGAAATTCCAGAACACCTTATCTGTAATTCACTAATAAGGAAGACAGCAGGTCAAAGTGATTCATGTAAGCACTGGATTCAGAGTCTGGCAGATACAAGTTCAGCTCCCTCTGTAACACTTCATAACTAGATGGCCAGATAATCTCCATAAATTCCTGTTACCGCAAGGGAAAAACAAAGTGCAACCACATAGCCAGAATTTTATTCATTCAACAGATATCGCTGAGTCCTACTGTGTGTCGGGCACTCTCTGTGTGTTTGAGGCACAGCCCAGAACAGAGCGCACAGATCCCTGAGTTCACAGAGTTTAGATTCAAGTGATGCCATGGAAGAGAAGGACCTGGGTCCCGTTCAATGCCAAGTGCACACAAGATGTTCTGATAGATATCACTGACTGGTATTAAATATCCTAGTAGGGATTGTTGGTCACCTTACTCGGGGCCACTAACCCCACCAGTTCCCTGGGAATAAACCCTCATCCTTCTGGTCTCCAACCCATTTTGCTGGTGTTTGATGTAGGGGTAGGACTGGGACCCATCTGGAAAACTAAAACGGAGGGGAGAATGGCTGGGACTGAGGAAACGCACCCTGTATTCTGCGAAGGAGACAGCATAAGACAGCCTCTTGCTGTCCCTGGACAATGTCTTGAGCAGTGTCACATGGGGGACTGGCACAGAGGAACCCAGCAGCTTCTTAAACTGAGAAACGAGCTAATACTGAAAATGCCAAGTGGGAAAATGGGAAGGCTCCGGGTGCTCGGCATTATTAAAATCAGCCAACTCTAAATCCTTCATAACTAGAGCTGGGCTTGCTACTCCACTACTGAAACCAGTGTGAGCTGGTGTTTTTTGTTACCTGCATTCAAAAAGACTTTAATCAATGCAAGTTATTACGATATCATTCCCTTATTTATCGGTAAGATCACCAGGCATTGGCCCGTTTCATATTATGTTTGTGGATGTATCCCTGGTCACAGCTAGCTCCATGTTTTAGAGAGAGTAGGTGGTGAATTCACAATTCGATAAAAATGTTTATATGAGCCAAATGTTTACATATTTCTACATGTACGATCTCACATACTTCTTTCAGGTCTCAGTTGTTTTAAACAATTTACCCAATTATTGAAGACAATAATAAACACCAGCTTATGTGCAGACACTTGATTCTGGTAGATCTCAAATCCAGGCTCCCAGGTCCAGCGTGCCTGGGGCAGGCTGACTTGAAACCGTGACTTGGGTTTATGTGGACACACCTTTCTTTGGTAAGTGGCCAGGGCTGCAACTCCATCCGACAAGCAAGGACGGTCTTCGAGTCCCTCCCGCCATCGAGCCTGCGGCTGTCTGTCTGGTGCCTGCACCAGGGAGCTGAAGGCAGGGTGGGGCCCACCTGGCCCGTGATTCTGTTCGATGAGGTCATGGGAACTGGACAAGGTTTGCCCGGTTTGGGAACTGGCAGTCCGAGGTCTGGTGATGGAGCGCGGCAGGTTATGGCTGGTTACTCTGCTCTTACAGAGAGGACGCGGAGGCCAACACTGCAGGAAGACGGCTGGGTTCTGGGGAGATTCTCACTGCTCCCCACAGGTGCCTGCTCACCACAAGATTGCCCTTTTATCTCCAGTCTGCTTCGTGTTCAACACTTACTCCCTGCTGGGCACTGTGGGGCGGGAAGATGGGCAAGAGGAACAGCCATCCAGGAAGATAAGACACGCACAGCATAAACACGCCCGCTGGCTCATCCACTCACTCATTTAACCGAGTCCTAGATACTTGAAATGAGCCAATACATGATGTAGATGCGGTCTCTGCCTCATTAGAGCTCCTCTGGTAACAGAGAAGAAATATGCAAGTGATTGATCACCCCATTAGTGGAACTTATGATATGTGCCCCAAAGGAAAGAATTGGAAGAGACTACAGCAGTATTAACAGGCACCTGATCCAAATTGAAGATACCTGTATCTCCATTCTGCAGGCGAGGAAACAGAGGTGGAGAGGAATTAAATCATTCGCCCCAGTTCACCCGTGCTGGAGCCTGAGGGAGCCAGACTGTCCTTCTCCAGAGCTCTTGTTCACTACCCTGCAAGGAGAGGGCCGAGCTCCAGGCTCACCATGGAGCAGGCAGGTGGGAGGGAAGCCTAGGCAAGTGGCATCAATGAGACCACAGCAAATGCCACATCGACTTGAGGGAAACATAAACCATTTCCTGGGGAGGGTGCCATTCACCTCCGGCCCTGGGAGAAAAGTGGGACAGTTTCTACACAGAAAGCAAGATCAAGGTCTACAGGGCATGCAGGCAGACAGCGCAAGTGAACAGGGGCCAGTGGAGGCAGAGTACTTACCCCAGAGGAGTGACTGGGCGCCCTCTCCTGTACCACCGTCCCTCTCTGCCATCCTCAGCAGGGCACAGTGTGCTTGCAGGTACCTGTTACGAGGTCTCCCCAAGTCTCCCCAGAACATGTGTGGAGGGCTCCATCTCTGGCACAGCAATGTCCAGAGGTGGAGCCTACAGAGGTGACACTAAGCTCATCAGAGGACCAGTCGGTTCCATCGATGAGCTCACGGGTGAACAGGCTAATTAGGAGGTGCGGCCAGCTGGAGACAGCAGGTCACTGGCGTGGATCCTGTCCCCAGGCCTCCCTCTCTCAAGCATTTCCCGTCTCTGCTTCCCGAGGTGAGCAGCCTTCTTCCAGTACGTTCTCCACCAAGACATTTCAACCTTGGAGCCAGTGACCGTGGACTGAACCCTTCAAGCCATGAGCCACAGCAAACCGCTCCTCCAAGCTGAGTGCACGGGGTACCCTGTCCCTGCAGGGGGAAGATCTAATACCGTGCCTGTGAGGGAGCAGAGCTGTGGAATACTCGTCAGGACCTGCTAGGGAGTCAACAGAAGAGGGGAGGGGATAGGACCTGACGTAATGGAGCCTCTCCTACATACTGAGTGTTTGCATGTGTTACTTTATCCTTACGTGAAGGAAAACGTGACTGAAGGGGTGCCTGTCCCGTTCGAGCCAGCATGCAAAGCACGTGACGGTGCTGTTAGATTATTCGTGAAGCCCAGCTGAGGGAGAGCTGCTGAGGAGGACAGGCTGGCAGCTTGCAGTGCTGGGTTAGTCTCTGTCCTCCCATCTACTCCTTTCTGTGTGTCTGTTTATCAGTCGCATTCTCTGCAGACTGTTTTTTCTGCTTTTCTAAGCCATGTGATTAGAAACCCACAGCCACCAATCCCCATGATTTACACATCATACTGAGTTCCTAAATTTCAGAGGAGTGCTCGGATTGGCTCAGCGTGGGTCAAGTGACTGACCATAAACTGATAAGTTGCTAAACAGCAGAATCATGATGTCCCAACATGAGAAATTTAATAACCTGACAGATAAAATGCAGGGGGCAAGTTTCATAAAAGGAGTCCCTGGACAGATTCAAGATAGATATCTTCAGTAGTCCTTCATGCAGTTCATGGAGTGGGTGTTAGTGAGGCTTGTTTTGTTTTGTTTTGTTTTGTTACTGAGGGGATGGATGCAGCAGCAGGGAAGCAGAGACGCTGGGATGTGACAGTGGTCAGCCCCGCTCACTGACCAGGGAGTTAGTGGAGCCGGACTGCACCCTACATGTACTGGACTCCAAGTCTGCACTCACCCCAGCCTTGCACATCAACTTCTCCCCGCTGGACCCTTTGTGGCTTGTGGCCACCGATTTCCTAAGACGAGGAGCCAGCTTCCTCCTGTAAACATACATTTCCCCCTTGTACCACGCGTTTGAATATGACCGGTGTTTCCAGGCGAGACTCAAATGGAAATTCATCCTATACTGTGATGGCTTCTCGTCTTCATCCAAGTGAAGAGTGTGGTTTTTAATAATAATTTTTGTTACCTTCTTATCTATGAAATGATCTGATGATTGCTTAATTTCCGTAACCTACAGGTACCCCCCAGGAAAAGACAGAGTACATTTTACCTGGTACCCAAAAAAGTACAATGCCAAATGTTATTGTGTTCTGTGTCTTTCTGATGTGATGTCAGCAATGACACCGGTTCTGGGTTCATTTAACCTGGCCTGGAACCAAAGAACGATCTGTCCACTCCCCGAATCCTCCTGAACGGGGCTTCTGTGTCAGATTACTGAGCGTTGCAGGAACACCGGCATCCGAAGCTGTGGATTTACAGCTCTTCGTCCTCTTCAAACCCCTAACACTGCTTCTTACGTGAAAAAAGCAATTTTAAAATGTACCACACCTAATATAACACAGGGCCATACTCACCACACACATTCTTTAATGGACAGAGGCAGTATTCTGCCTTTTACTGACAGTTAACACCAACTCTTAATGCCATTTTCTATTATTGATTTATGAGGTGCATACTCAAAGCAAATTAGAGAATAAATCATTGATGACATTGATTTGCTTACCAGCTCTCCAATAAATGTGCATGATTAGTTGTGGCCTGCTGCCTGTCTCTGTCAGCAGGAGGCCTCTGTTCTGGGGCTCTGTTCCTATGTTGTTTGCGCCTGGGCTTACTGAGGACTGGTAGTGTAACTGGAGGGGGGAGAGGGTGAGGGCTGGGGCTGTGACTACATCTGATACCCTGAGGCGGAGGAGGGATTTCTGCACATTCTTCGGGGTTAGGAAGACTGCGGAGAGGAAGTTTCCACTGGAACGAGACAGCTCATTACTTCAAAGCGTCTGGACATCTTTTAGTAACACCTCTGGAACTGAATCCTTCCGAGCAGGGAGGGTGTGCACTTGGGGGGCTTTGGCTTTCGTGGTCAGGCTGGGGGACAGCCTTGGTCTGTTTGGCTTTGGATTCAGGAAGCAGGGGGGAACAGTATGCCAGGGAAGGGGGTCTTCAGAGGCCTCGGGGTGTGGTGGGTTGATTCATTTCCTCTCCCTCCAGAGACAGCTTGGTTCAATCCGACTTATTTGCACACCTTTGTGAAAACTTTTCCTGGTTACATAACATTTTGGTTTTAGTTTTCTTGTATTTATAATGAAGGAATGTAACAGTAGGTACCTCTTCCGGTTGCTGGAAGGATTAAAGGAGATAATTCCCAAGGAGTGATTGCACCAGAGTCGGTACAGAGTGAGCATTCTGTTCATTAGGCATTCAGCTTGTGCACCTGCAGACCTAAGAGCCGTGAGTTTTGTACGCACACTGGTTTGTGGGGAGGGGCGTGGGTCCCTGGTGTTCACTGGCTCACTCAGAGGGGTCCCAGGTCGCCTGAGAGCCGAAAGCTCTGCCCAAGGGACTCTCTTCCTTGCTTTTGGAGCACTGCTGGCTGGGCCTCCTCCCCGACCGCACTGTTCTTTCTGGAACATTGTGGACAGAAACCTGGAGCTGCTGACAGCCGTGTGCCACACCACAAAGAAGCCGGCCTGAGAAGGCCGCTGATTCAGAAGAACTTTACCATTTCTCGCGATGCCTACGGAACGAGCCTCCTTGAACCCAAATCTATCCCAAACCATGCAGGCCACCTGGCAAATTTTACGCTCAAGCAAGTTTGAGTTTCTATCATCGTGACTCAGGAGTCGCATGGAAAAGAGCCTCAAGGTTCACAAATACCTCCTGAGTCCTCCTGTGGTGTCACAACGCCCTCAGAAGGTGTATATTAGTCTTCTCTATTTTACAAATTGGGAAACTAAGACCCAGCTAAACTAAGAAACTAGGCACACACAAAGAAGTAGCGCACTTGGACTCAGTTCTCCTGGGCTCTAAAAACCAGAGCCTTCCCACTGGCCAATACAGCAGAAAAATTCCGTGGTCATCTCCCTCTCCTGCTGGGTGCACGGAAAGCACCCTGGCTAAGGAAGGCGGATTCCTGGTTTTATTTATTTGTTTTTGCCACATTCGTCGTATCCTTCAGCAAGACCCCGACTCCAGTGCTTTTTCCTTCTCGAGCAGTGTGGTTTGAGCGTTTTGTTTTTGTTGTTGTTGGGTTTTTGTTGCAGCTGGTGGTGGAATATTAAGCCACAGGGTTTGGACTACGTGTGCTATGTTCCACATTCAAAATGTCGAAAGGCAGTTCTTCACTATCTTCTTGAAATTCTTGAGTTAGGTACTAGAAGAGCCAGGCATCGAAGGGAGCCAATAAGCAAAGGCCCCCAGGCAGACCCCCTCTCCTCCTGGGGCAAATGGATGAGGGACGCGTCATTAAAACTGCAGAGAATCACAGCTCCGGGCCGAGCTCCCCACACTTAAGCATACTCTCGGGATTCTGATTTCGGGGGGGCAGCGGAAGTGGAACCCAGAGTGGAATTCCGCCTAATATGCGGTTCCTGTAGCGTCCAAATGATGTCAGTGTGCCTCTGTGAGGCTCCGAGAAAGTGCTGAGTTTAGTCCATTCGCCTCCATAAAGAAAAACTGGAAACCGCTGGGCCAGGGCCAGTGTCAACCAGTGTTAGAAAGCCAGGAATGCTCTTGGCAGGGTAAAACCATTCAGGGACGGTCATACCCAATTCATGTCGATTTATGGTGTGACATTTCCTTCTGATTAACAGTTTGTTCTGAGACAGGGGCTAGCAGCTCCACGCCTGCAACCGGCTCAGAGAACATGGGGTTGGTTAGAAACTCCTCATCTGTTGATCCCGAACCGCTGAGGTTACAGACGTGGCCGAGGTAGCCGGGAGGGTCCGTAAGTCAAGCCCACCTCCAGGAGAGGCAGCCGGCAAGTGAAAGTCTCATCCAGTTACTGCAACTCAAGTCAGAGTTTTGGTTCTAATGAGCCAAGGCACAGTTTTCGTCCTGATGTCTGTTTTCCCGAGAACCGGCCTCTCAGGTTCCGGGTAGGGCTTTGAGGATGCTAACGGCGCCCGTGACAAGGGCACCAGCATTCTTTCTGCCTCCGGCCAGCTTCTCCCTGGAGCGAGCCTAGGGATAAAGTGTAGTAGGTTCCAGGAGAGCAGGCTGCGGTCAGAAGACCCAGTTTCAAATCCTTCCCCGTCACTCATCTTGAGTAAACTTCAGGCAACTTTTTTTCCATCTGGAAAGAAAGTAATAATCATGGTATTCAGGCACAGGATTGTTACAGAGATAAGTAAGTTAATTAACACAGACTGCTGTTGGGCTTAGAACAAGCCCTCCGTAGAGACTGGCGATCTGATTCCTGCTAGTCTGTGTGTGCAGTGCGTAACGGTTCCGTCCCTTTGTGGAGCTGGTGCGTGGACGTCACAACATCTTAATTCTGTTTTCATCCCCATCCTCCATCCCTTGGTCGCCTTCCCACTTGAGCAAGATCCCTCTCCCCACTTCCTGTCATCTCTCTTTGTTTATATTTGGGTTTCTGATGTAAGAGAAGCCAGGTGACATCTCAGCTTGTGGGTCTGGTTTATTGTTGATGGCAACGTAAGCTAGTGCCACCACCATGTGAATCCGTGTAGAGATTTCAGAAAAAATAACAAGCAGAAATTCCATTTGACCCAGCGAGTCTCCCTCTGGGTGTCTTCCCGAAAGAGTCAAAAGTATCATATCACAGCGATCCGTGCACACCCATGTTGACAGTGGCACAGTTCACAATAGCTGCATCTTGAAAGCCACCTATACACCTGTCAGCAGATGAATGGGCAAAGAAAGCGTGGGATTTGCACACAGTGGAGCACTGCTCTGCCACAAAGAGGAATAACATGCACCCTTTGTACAAAATGGATATGTCTTGAGAGCGTGATGGTCCGTGAAATAGATCAGGGGCTATTAATCTTAAAGGCTCCATCCACATAGAAAATACAACTTCATTTGTATCAGGACTGGTGTCCAGTACGGCCAATATGGAACTCTGGCAAGACACAGATAGACTAAAACCTACTCTACGTCATCTACAAGGACCCTGCCTCCCTGCTGAACATCCTGAGTCTCATCCTGTTCTGCAGGACCATGTGATCTGGGGACTGGGGTTGTCCTGGTCACTTACTAATACACACAGACAAAGCAAATGACAAGGGCGAAGGCGGCCACACGGGGGATCTTGGCTTCACCTAGCACTGTCCCATCAGAGCAGCAGCCAGGAGAGGAGCACGGTGGCCACATCCACAGTAAACATGGCCTAGCCGGTGCTCTAGACACTGGGCAATCACGTGAGAACACCTCCTCATCGGGACAGGACAGGGAACAGGAGGGGGACTAGACATCTCCCCACCCTCTCCTCTTAGTTCAGGGGTTCGAAGAATGAAGAGGGAACCGCCCACAACAGACTCATCTGGGTGCAGATTCCTGTGTTCCCCACACATACCTTGTGATGGAGCCTCTAGCATAGTTCAGGAATCGTGGCTGCCCTGTTTCCCATGTGAACTGACCTGGAACCATTTGTCAGTCCATGGGAAGCCAGTGAGCAGTGGACCAGAGCCAAGAGGCCATCAGGTTTGGCCAGAGGCCCACGGCCACCCCGCACCGCACACTCCTCCTGGTTTCCCCACATTCCTCATGGGGTCCTGGGGGAGGTCAAGATCCAGTTGTGAAAAAAGCTTTGAAAACTTCCATAACCCAAGAAATAATTGGTTCCTGTGAACTCAGAAGCAGCCACCATTCCCCGCTTTCCCAGCAGATCTGTGGAACTCAGACCTTCAAACTTCCGCACCAGACTACAGGACAGCATTTACCAAGTCATCGCCGGTTTCCTTCTGTTCAGCTCAGGGTTCCCTGTCACAGAAAGGGCGGGACACTAGCACACGGCCTCAGGCAAAGCCACGCTGAGAGCAACCCCGTCTCCTCTCCTCAAAGTCCTCCAACTGTCCTGCATTTTTGAGCCCACTCCCAAGCTCCAGCCCGGCGTCTCCACCTGCAGGGCTCCAGCTTGATTCCAGCGCCTCTCACGTCCCAAACTGACCTGTCACTTTCTCCTCTTGGTTTTCTCTGTCTGCTGGCACCTGCGACTGGGAACCCAGACTCTGCCCAGCTGTCCCCACACACAGTCGTCTTCACGCACTGCCCCTTCCCTCTTCCCACCACCACCCTCCTCCTGTCCCCGTCTGCCACCGCTCTGGCTCAGGCCTGTGAAGAAGCGTGCACACCTGAGTTCTGCTCAGAGCCGAGTGGCTCTTACACAGGGAAGCGGACAGCACGGAGATGCCCTGGATGTTGCTGTGTGTGCTCACTGGGGACAACACCCAGGAGAGGACCAGAGACTATGCCCTGCTCTGGAACATGCTTGGGCACCTCCTTTTGGAACGCTGAGATACCCCAAGCAGTGACTGGACTGCATCCCACTGGGCTCTTTGGGGTTAGCAGTTCTTACCCCATGGCAGCCCCCCAAGGATGCAAGGCAGAAGCCGGAAGGAGCTGAGCACAGCCGGGCCTGCAGTCGGAGCCCGCCCTGGCCACCTGGCTCTGCAGGAAAATAGCTCCTCACTGATACCACTGCTGCTCAACTTTCCCGTTGCTTCCAACCAAACGTGACCTTGAGTAAGTGCAAGACCAGGGACGGATCCAGAGCCCAAGTCTGCCTGTGTTTGACACCTGTCCTTTCAACGACGGCTCCGCAGTGCAGCTTATGTGAGGCAGCAGTTCTGCAAATGGAGGAGGGCCAGGCGTCGTAAACGGGCCAGAGAAGCTCGGCTGGAGCTTTTATTCTGTCGTCTTTGCCTCCAAATTCCCAACCTACAAAATCATCTGAAAAGCAGGGGCGTGGGCCACGGCCAGGCAACCCCCAGTGCCGGGGCAGCTGAAGGTTCATCCAGGTCTTGGGGGAGGCTGCAGTAAGACCCTGACCTGATGTTCAAAACCTGCCAGAGACCATTCTTTTCCTGACTGTTACCTGGGCTGTCACACTTCTGTCCTGGGAGAATTTATGAAACCAGAATCTCCATCATTGAAGACACACAGCCTTTATCACCATCCTCTCCAGGGGGCAGGAAGGAGTCTTCTTCACCTCGTGTGCTAGGAAACCAGCAGCCCTCGTGGGCGCATCTGATCTGCCTGCCCCTTGCGGCCTGGCACTGAGCTAAAAGTACAGATGGAAATAAAAACAGGAGGCGGGCAATTTCCCATCAGTTGGAGCCTGGCTCAGGATGAAAATAGCGGGGCAGAAAACAGGGTTGGGGTAGGGTAGGGGGCCGGAGGGAGAGGGGAGCCAGCCGAGGGGAAGGAAGCAGAGCCAGCCTCTCTGATGGCCTGCCGTGCCATCGCCCTGTGCTGCAGGTCCAGTGCCCACTGTTCATATGTCCGGTCTCTTTTCTTTCCAAACCAAAGATGCTTGGCAGTCTGAATGGATCATTGTCAGGTGCCTGAGTCTCCTCAGCCATCCAAGCACGCATTTTTGGATGGAGACAGGACAAGCGGAGGACAGAGCTTGTTTTTTGAAAGCCAGGAGGCCATGACACCCCTTAAATACACCCAGTACAAAAGTACCACGTGGCGAGCCACTCTCTCCCCGCTGTAAAACTCAGTGAAATGAGGCTCTCGCCCACTCCAGAGCCAGCAAGCACCAGAGCCCAAGACCTCAAGGAGCAGGCTCGAGACATATCTGCAGGAAACTTGAGTGACGCTGACTTTGTTCCCAGACTAATAAACTGCCTCCTGTTCGCAGAATTCTTGTTTCAGTCTTGCTGTCCTGGCCTCATGCGCTGCGGAGAGAACAGCTTGCATTTCTTCCTCGGGTGTTCAGCACAATCATAGCTGTCTCTGCTCTGTGTCCTGGAGCTCAGGCGGGTGTGTGTGTGGCTGGGAGCCCACGTGCAGGAATTCGCCAGAAGAGCGCATGGCACAGGGCTCCTCCGAGCCTTGCTTTCTGGATTAGAGTTCTGACCACAATAGCTTGGCCCGATCCAGTTTACAGTCGTATAAGTAACTCCAAACTGTCGATCAGCTATTTTTTTAACTTTTAATCAGACCCACCATACAGATACCAGACCCGCTCAGTTTAGACAATTAGCATAGTTATTGACAACTCAAGCCGTGATTAAGGCTAGAGCTTGGCCTTTATAGGATCACGTTAGAGGACAAAATCAGAAGGCAAGGAGGCTTCCCTGGGTCTCCATGGATCACAGAGACGTGGAGGAAAAAATGTCCGGGATAAGAACAATCAACTGCGGTGCGATTTTACGTGTAGGAGTGTGCGCCCACTTTTCCTGGAGTCCACGCTAACCTGCACCAGACTTGCAAAGGGAGCCAGGATGCGGTGAAACGTCATGACACAGCGTCCCTCGGTAGGCTGTGGGTAACGCTGGGGTCCTGGGCCGGGGGCTGAGTAACAAGGCTCCAAAGCTTTCTCCTTCAGGAAACAGATGGCTGTATGGACTTGTTATGGAAATTAAACTTAAAGATAGTGAAAGCTTCAGCATGGTGTCCAGCATGGTACTTTTCTGGCTAAAAACTCTGTCACATGCGAGTGCAGACTGTTGAATTTGCTCTGTTCACACAAGGTTCAGGCTGAGGCCAGGGCAGAGATGCCACACAGGACTGAGGTTCTCAGTTTCTGGCTCTTTCTCCACCGGCCCACCTCTTTCTTCCCCTAGAACTTTCTTGATCATCTGGCCAAAACAATTTCAAGGTTTTTGTTGGAATGTTGTCTTCCTTGCATTGTGGCAAAGAAGGAAAAATTGATATCTTACACCTGATTGGTCATTTCCTCCAAATTTCTGTTTCCGAAAGTATTCGCCTGGCTTTGCTCACTTTCCATGATTCCCCAATAATTTTTTGTCACTTTTTCCAGATCTCATCCATAAGGGTTCCATTTTGAAGGGATTTTCTCCTTAATATCAGAAGTGAAACTTGGAATTTGACACTGTGACATCAATTTGGATAATTAGCTGAGAGCCTTACCTCAGTATTTTTGCAAAATAGCTTAGGATGTTGGCATCAAATCTATCATTAATTCTATACAAACTGAGGTATAAGCCAGGGATTTGGACTAGCCTGTGTCTGAGCAAGGCTGAGGCAGGGAGGCTTCCGGGGAGGGGGCTGGCTGTGCGGTGTGTGGCCACCAGCCGCTTACTTGGTCTTTCGCCCCTGGCCGGCTCCCCGCCCTCCCATCCTGCCCCCAGGAGTCCTGTT